GAGAAGTGCTAAACGAGACAGGTGTAAACGAAAACTAGTGATGCATGCCTACAACTCACATTATTAGCCACTAGCTATTTTTAACTCTTTGAGGTCAACATGCTTAACAGTAAAGATATATATACAAACGGTTAGACCTTATCAGACTGGCAGAGAACCACTACTCTGTCTCTCTCTCTCTCTCTCTCTCTCTCTCTCTCTCTCTCTCTCTCTCTCTCTCTCTCTCTCTCTCTCTCTCTCTCTCTCTCTCTCTCTCTCTCTCTCTCTCTCTCTCTCACACACACACACACACACCACACACACACACACACACACACACACACACACACACACACACACACACACACACACACACACACACACACACACACACACACACACACACACACACACACACACACACACACACACACACACACACACACACACACACACACACACACACACACACACACACACACACACACACACACACACACACACACATACACACACATACACACATACACACATACACACTGAAACATACATATATACTACTTACTGTATTTTGAAAATTGCTGTCTTAGTTTTTATTTGTTACAGTTTGTTATCTCTCAGCAGGGCAAGCTATAAATTTGGAATGAGGAGACATTAACATTCAGCATGTCTCTGATACGCATTCGTGGACGTACAATCCTTTCACCTATTGTAAGTATTTATTTAGCATCAGGTTGATGAGCATAATATTGTGTATGAATCTGATATTTGCAGTCATGATTTTGGTATTCATATATTAGAAATGAACAGCAGAATTATTCCCTTTTTTTAATTGGTTTAAAGTTCTTTAGATTTTACTGTCTTTCAGTACATATCTATATATATATAGTATCATATGAAAGAAGACAAAGTAACATTATATCACTTTGTAACTTACAGCTGAGTGAAAGTGAACGCTTGGAGGCCCGAGCTTTAAGAGAGCAAGCCATACATTCCCAGCAACAACGACAGAAAGATCACAGTCGCCAGAGTTCTGTAAGGACAATATGAAACAGATTATTGATTTTTTTTTATTGTTGATGGTGTTTGTATGGGCATTGTATCAAAAGGAATCAAAGAAATTTCATTATGAATTCCTTTAACAAGTACAACAGTTATGTATTGCTAAAGTTTAATGGCTGGAACTATGAAATATCTATGAAATATATATATATATATATATATATTATATATATATATATATATATTATATATATATATATATATATATATATATATATATTTTTTTTTTTGTATATGTATGTGTGCGTGTATGTATCACTTATATTGGGTAACAAATAAGAAATAATCTCTATCAAGTCATAAAGGAATATAAACTTTCACAGCGTCAAGATAGCCACATTCCCGAAACAGAACGAATCTCGAATGAAGGCCGGACCTCCAGTGCCACACGAAGGTCTGTCCTATCCACCCCGAAGAGTCAGCGTACCAATGGAGGAACGTCATCTTCGTCAGCACCAAGTAGCGGAGGAGAGGTTCTCACAGGCCCGGAAGATTCCCCGAGTGCAGCCAATGTGTCGGTTCAGACAGAATCCTCTATGTCACTTACTGCCAGCACGGACCTTCGTTCTTACCTCAACACCTCCCTTGACACCTCTCTTGACACCTCCACTAGTGCCTCCTTTAACACCAGGCAACAATCGTCTTCAATGGTCAGTGGACTATCCCCAGTTTGCAACACCTCTTGTAATACTTGTATATAAGTCTTAATGCAATGCTGCTGGAAACACTTAATGTTCACTGTAGTAGGGCTTTCTCGAGTGTATTTAAATATCGATGGCTCCGCGAGTACAAAAATACCTAGGAGACAATTAATAGGCCTATGTGACCTCCCCTTTCCTTGAGGTTTTGAAGAAGAAAAAAAGCCTAATGCTATTAATATCAATGATGTCATTATTATCATTAATATTATTTTTAGTGTTATTAACATCACTCATAACAATACTAGAAGAATAATATTTTTTTAAATAATGCAAAAGGGTAACAAAGGTAAGATCAGTACATGCCAACTTGGTGAAGAAGCGCCTAGAGAGCCATTTATGTGTAAATGAAAATGATACGTTAAACGCACAGTGGGCATGGCTTGTGCATGCCATCCCCGGCAGCATTGGGTTAACCTTTTAATTATTTCCCATGGATGTCGTTCTCTATCCCTTCTAGATACTTGTATGTTCTTATGTATGACCATGACAGAATCATTTTTACTTTGTTGGATTAATGTGTACTGTGTTTTTTTTTTTTTCTATATGTATGGGAAAGTATTTGTGATTTGCCTAAATACAAAATTATTCTGAGATGACTTACATATTTCACATAGATCAGGCAGTTTGATATTCTTTACTTCTGGAATTTCAGGCACAAGTAGACGAAGCTCTTCTGCTGAGTGTCTCTCCTGAGGTTGCAACAGATCTCATCTTAGGTCGAGTTCATCCATCCACAATATTACACCAATCAAATAAGGATATACGGACTATACAGGCAGACTCTCAGCGAACTGATACTGCCAGTGCCACACTCACTCAGGAACAGCAGTCGGCAGAGAAACAGCAGGTTCCTGAGGCCCATGACACAACTACTGCATCAGTAAGTCTCAGTCTTGCCTCCTTTTCTGAAGAAGGAGGAGATGGCTCTGAGGAAGGCCTGGAAGCATCTGAAGAAATATTAGAAGTATCTGAAGTAATGGATGGTTCAGAAGAAGACAGGGACTTGAGCTTGCCAAGCGAGGCCGAATCAGACTGGCACAGAGACGAAACTGACGATTCCCATACGCATTCTTCCCAGACCACATCACAGAAGAGTGGCTCAGGCTCAAGCTTTGATCTGCCAAGAGACCTTAGAGTCAGTGCACTGCGTGAGGGAAGGGAGTCCAGTAGGTCCATGCAGAGAGATTCTGGACGCAGTAGCAGTCACAGTGACTATCTAGATGACTACTTAGAACTTCTGACCAGCAGATCTAGCAGCAGCCTTGGTCTTCAGTCAGCTGGAGTATCTGTAGCTCCAAGCAAAATGGTCGCCCCTGTCACTACTTCATCTGCAACCCGGGGAGTCATTACTACCAGTTCTACAGACCATTCAGACCAAAGGAAGTCATCCGTGCGTAGGGACAACAATAATACGAGGGAAAAAACAAGAAGCACGGATAGTTCTGAGTCGTTTGGAAATAAAGACGAAAGTGACTCTGGCAAAAGCATGAATAAAGAAGCACTTAAAGGAAAACTGATAGAAGACTTGAAAAACGATGGTTAGAGCAAGAAGAAAAGAAAGCAAGAGACAAAGATTGGCCTAGAGATAGACTGGAAGAAACCTGCACAGTAAATCAGCTCTGTCAGTAAAGAGATTGTCGTATCACAGAGATCCCCCGGAGTGTGGAGCAAGTGGAGGTTTCATTTTATTGTTTTATTCTTTTATTTCAGCTGCTCAGAATCTAGGAGCAACTTTACAGTTATTTTCAACTAAAGCATATTTCTTGCAGTATGTATGTATGTACTCAGTCCATCTATGGCTGTAAAGTGCAGTCTCTATAGGAGTGAATGTAGTGAGATTTGAGTGTGCTAGTGTGAGTCAATTCATAGTGAGGAGTGAGTGTGCGAGTGCTGAGTTGAGAGAGTGGAGAGTGGAGAGTGGAGAGACAGTGAGAGAGAGTGGACAGTGGAGAGTGGAGTGCAGAGTAGTGAGAGTGAGATATGAGAGTATGTTTATGTGTTCTTATTATGAGAGTACTTTTTGGAGAGTGAGTTGAGAGGAGATGAGAGTGATGTTGAGAGTGAGGAGTTGAGAGAGTGAGAACGAGTGAGCCCAAAGAGAGGAAAGAGAGACCAAGAGAGAGACATCATCATGACGAGAGAGAGAGATTTTTTAATTAAGTATTATCTTTTCTGTATTCTGAAACTTGGCTAAAAAAACTTAAAGTGCTTTTTCATCCAAATAATTTTTCAATAAATCTTGGAAAAGTTGCATCTTTCAAATATAAATGAGTGTGGTGTGTATTCCAGTATTTTAATTATCTTATCTAATTTAGATAAGGTAAGTAAGAAACCAGAAGAAAACCTGATAATATACATATTTTTGTTTTTGAAATTTAAGTTTCATTCTATCTTTATTTATAACTTTCAGGTACTTGGATAGCTATCTTGGAAACTTAACTGACGATGCTTGGCTTCAGTATCCCACAAGCATAGGAAGTCGCCACATGGTGTTTCTAGATTCTGATGATTATATGCAGACTGTTCGACCACAACAGGTAAAGAGGAGTAGAGGGAAATCTCAGAGCAGCACAGAACACACTGAAAGTTCTGCCTCAGAAGACAGCAGACGTCAGGATTCCTCAACAACTTCATCCCACAGTCCACACTCAAATGTTAGTACCAGTATAAAGGAAGACGGATCAGAAATATCGCAAGGGAAGAAACGTGAGAGCAATATTCCTTGTCAACGTGAGTCAAAGCTCACAGCTGATGTAATGCACCCAGCAAAAGAAGTAAAAGCAAAAGATGCACAGGCCTTGCAAGAGCAAGATTCCACACATGTTTCAAAGACTAAACAAGATATAGAAAATAGTGAAACAGAAAAGAATGAGCAGAGATTGCCCACAACCTCCTCTCCTCAGCAAGTTCAAGAAAAAATAGCCAAATATCCTGAGAGCGCAGAGAAGAAGGACCATTCTCCTGAGGCGAATGATGGCCAGACAGACTTACAAGCCACCATCCCTGAGAAACAAAAGGAAGTTGACAATGTTGATGAAAATGTTAATATTGTGAAACCTAGGGATAACTTGTCTGATGTACCTGTGACTCTACATGAAAATGCTAATGCTTCATCAATCTCAAACAAAGGCAATGTTATATCCAGTGAATCTTTTGAGCGAGGGCCACAACAGAATGTAGAAGGAAGTTTTCTTGACAATAATTCTAATGTTGATAATGTGAAAAATCTGGAGAGTACTGTTCCAGCTTTTAAGATTGGAAATATAGTTGAAAGCACAGAGCGTGATGATAGTTCCTCTGATGAAAGTAGTGAAACTGAGCCAAGCACTATAGTGTATGTTGATGACTATCCATGTGAAGTAAGAAGTTCCATGCAAAAGGAAATTGAAAAGCAAGGTGCTCATAATGGAGCTGAAACAGATAATATTATAGCATCTAAAGAAAAAGTTTCAGAGGAAGCAATGGCCCTTGCTGAATTTGAAAGATTGGAGCTTGTCCATGGTAGAAATGAAGGACAAGTAACAAGTAAAAGTGAAAATGGAACAGATAAACAAAAGAAGGACAGCACTGATGTACCTTCAAGTTATTGTGAACCCTTATCAAAGAATATGGACATGGCCCATGATGTTCAAAAGGATAAGGATAATATGAAGGCAAAGGGAAGTGAAACTTTGGGTAAGTCTGACATCAAAGATGGCACTGTGTTGCAAACAGAGTCCACCAGTAATCTGTCTGAACAAGTTGTAATGCAAGGGGAGAAAAAAGATGCAGTGGAATCAAGTGTTCCTTGTCAGGTACCGTTGAAAAGCGATGTGGTGGAAAGCATACCTCAGGTTGAAATCTATGATTCTGAAGAAGAGTGCCTTGTTGTGCAGGTCACAGAAAGTAAGGATAGTAGATATAGAGAAAGTAAGTGGACTGGGAGCAAAACCGAATCTAAAGGTGAAGATGAGGTTGTGGAAATTGTGGCTAAGAGTCTAGAGAAACCAAATAATGAAATGGAGTTAGCACTGGAGGCCAGTAATAGCATGAGGGACTTAGTGCCAGAGAAGGTGTCAGAAGATGCCATGAATCAGGTACTGAATCTCTTACGGGCCAAGCAAAGGCAGGAACTAGAAGCATTGCGAAGGCGCCAGGAAGAAGAGATACGGCAGTTTATACAACAGCTGCAACGTGTTTCTCCTAAACAGTTGCAGGCTTTCCTGTCTGCAAGTACCATGACTTGTGGAAGTATTGAGGGAAGACCTGATGATGATTTGCATCCAAGATCAGAAGGAAATTTCTCCATTAGTGATGCTGATAACTTTAAAATTAGCAAGGACAGAGGTATAAGAGGAAGCAGTCCTGGAAGGTCACATATAGAAGTTGGTTTGTATAATAAAAATGATACTAGCAGCATTAATAATGAAGGGAGAGGGACAAAAGAAGAGCAAAGCAGATATTTGATTTCGTCCAAACCAGTGGAAGAGATGACCAGTAAAACTGATAATTTTTCCATAATGCATCCCTGTGCCTCACCTTGTAATACAGTATCTAGTTCTTGTGCTTCAGTTGATTTACCTTCTAGAACATACAGTGAAAAGATCAGTGGTGCTGAACAAATACCTAGACCATCTAACCACACCAATATCATGCCTTCTTATTTTGTGAACGAAGAAACTAAGAAAGCTGCAGATTCATTAGGAAATGTAGTAATAACCGGAGAAGCTTCCTCCCACCTGAGCAGCAGTCCTCACAATGTGTCTTATTCTGGTTCTAGCCCAAAACATGCCCTAGCTAATGAAAGTGATCTGTCCTTGCATGCGAAAAATAACAATATGCCTGTGGAAGCTCTAGATCAAGTCAGTTATGCCAATGGCAACTGTGTGAGCTATGGGGATGGCATGCAGTATTACAGACTTTTTACTGCAGATGATGAAGGACATGGATCTAGACCGAGATCCTGTCGTCCAACTGTGTTAGAACCTGTATTACAGTCAAATTCCTCCCAGATAGTCACACAACCAGGTCTCTTTAGAGTGGTGAGTGGCAGTCCATGGCCAAGTCCTCGACCGACAAGTATCACTAATCTTCTTGCAGAGCATCCTGAGATGTTCAGTGATGAAGTAGTAGAAATGAATCTACAGCATATTAATGACTGGGGCCCTTCAGAAGTAAGTGTAAGAGAACATACACCAGCCACCCAACATTCCAGCAGAACACATCATGTAACAGTGCCTCGCCATTCTGCTGCAAGGTGCCATGGTAGTGCCAGTCATCAAAGACGGTCGTCTGAGGAAGGAGGATTAGATATGGTCCCTGAGAGAGAGTCTGCTGCAAATATCTACCATCATCCCCTGGTATGTCTGGAGCATATTTTGATTTTTGGTTGTGTAATTGTACTGTAAAAATTCATATGTTGAATATATTTGAACATTTTTCTGTTAAAGGAATCTCATTTCAGAGTCAGAATGCAATATTCATAAGAGGGATCACACTGCTCCAAGCCTGTGTACGCCGCTTCTTAACTCAGAGACTTTTCCGCACCAAATTTGTGCAAGAGCAACTGGCAATTCTTGCAGAAATTGCTAAATTGGCACAACAGTTTCATAGAGATATCTTAACCGACAACATCCACAAAGGAGATGTAGACTTTCATAAGGCATTATACAATCAGGTAATATATGCACTGGTATAAGCAGACAAGTCATAGGAATAGTATATAGAAAATAGACTCTGTGTGTGTGTGGATTTGGGCTTTTCAATATATAAGTCTAATGTAACTGAAGTAAAGTATTCATGCGCCCTCCATAAAAGTAGTAAATTATGCAAAATAATCATCCTGCATTGGCTTGTTTTTTTCATGAATGTTGACTTTCACATCTGATGTCTCCCTTTTCTGTTCAAGTTTCTTGGCAATCACCATAAATTCTCTTACTTTACTCAAAGCAATGACAAGGTTAGTGCCTGTTGTAACCCTGAATTTTGACATTTCATATTTACTTGACATATGGATAAACATATTCAAAACAAACATAAATATTTGCAGGCATTCTTGTAGAACATGGTTATTAATCTACTGATGTGTTTACGTATATACATTCTTATTGAAACTGTTTACTGCACATATATATGCACACACATACACATATTTATTTATACACACAATATACATACATGCAATGAGGGAATCTTTTGTTCAAGAATAGTCAAAGGCTTCTTATGTGGGAATTGTGGAATTGTGTATGAACTCTCATTCACACTCTCACTCTCAATCATACTCACACAAGCTGTCTCACTTATTCTCACATGCTCTCATTCATACTCTGACTCTAACACACTCACTCTTACTCTCAGACTCACAGACACTCACACTCACACTCACACTCACACTCACACACACACTCACTCTTACTCTCAGACTCACAGACAGACACACTCTCACACACACACACACACACACACACACACACACACACACACACACACACACACACACACACACACACACACACACACACACACACACACACACACACACACACACACACACACACACACACACACTCACACACACTCACACTCACACTCACACACACACACTCACACTC